GTCTTAACTGGAAAATAAGGGAACAGATAATCTCAATGTAAATTGTTGCAATGAAGAGGAATTAGATGACTTCTCTCAAAATTCAAAAGACAACAATGCTCTTGACCCAACAATTCTAAATACTTGTCTAGTAACTGTACACATGAAAAATTGCTTATGTGTCAAAGTTTTTCTTTACAGTCTTGATAGTGTTAGCAAAATATTAGAAAGATTTTAAAAGACCATTAAGGGAAAATTAATTATTTCAAATTTTTCATTTTAATATGTGTTAAAATTGAAAATATTCCAAATATAAATCAGAAATAAAAATGGTTTTCCATGAAAAAGGGAGAGACAGAGACAGACAGAGAGATAAAGACAGAGAGAAAGAGAATATAGTTTTTATATTTTGATAAATGCAGAAACTATATCTGCAAAAACATCACTCACACGACTATGTGGCAGAAGGAGGATGAAGAGAAAGTTATTTTTTATTATTCTGATGCCTTCCAACCCACGAATAGCAGAAGCACGCCACGGCTGAACAGAGTTGGGTTTAATTACTCCCCAGTAAAGAGAAGAAACACACACCATGACCCTGCTGCGGTGTCTTATTAAAACGGTATAAGAAGAGTCTCAGAGGATGCCGGTGTGGTCAGGGGCATAAGCGGAGCTCAGAGAACTGTGAGATTGCTTCCAGGTGGGTGCTCTAAAAGGCTGAGTATGAATCTATGGTGAATAAAGCAGAGGGGGCCACTCACACAATCCAGGACACAGAAAGTCTCACCAGTGTGTAAGTTGGACTCTTTACTTGTGATCAGCACAATCTTGCCTTTGTCTTCACCTGCATTATCACAGCGGCCTTGTTTGACGTTGTGGGATTGTTTATACCCTACAGAACACCCAGCCTACTGGGAGTGCATGCCAGCACCTGGCTGTCATACTGTTTTGTTCTTTCTCGACTGGATATCCCTTTGTGCCTTTACAATTTTCTACCATGCTCTTATATATTCAGCATAATTTTAAAAGAATCTCAAAACCAGAGTGTACTTGCAACATTACCAAGTTCTGAGACTGCTCCACCACCACGTACAGACCTCTGCAGAGACCTCTAGTCTGGTTTCTGGTGTGAGAACAGCAGGTCTAAAACACCTCCAGCGTGACCACTGCACTGGCTTACCAGGTAGTCCATCCCACTGTAAAGGACTCTAGCAATTTTTACTCAGAGGAAAAGAGAACAAGGCATTTGTTATCATATCTTTATCACTTTCTCTTTAACCTCTTCAAATGTATTTTCTATGGTAACTAGTGGAGCAGAATAATTAGCTTTCAAATTTTATGCAAAATATTCCTATTATTACCCTGCAAACTCCAAGTGTCTTTTTTGTGCCACCAGTGTTCCAGCACAGTTGTGCGTTTTTCTTGTTATCCTTACATTCATAGAGATTCTTATCTGTTGCTGCTGACGCACCCATTTGCGTTTGTACTCAATTACATATAATTAGTCTTTTCTTCATGAACAAAAGAACAGGTGTCTTTATCAATTCTGTGCAGGATACTATGGCAAAGTTGGTTGGACCTAATGATGTCTGGTGAACCAAACAACACATTTTTGACAGATGCTCATAGTAACAAGATTTTTTTTCAAACAATTAACTGCTTTTACCTCCACCCACACAAAGCAGAGAAAGAAAAGACATCTTAACAGCCTAGAGGCATACCATTTTTCTATTAAAAAGCATGAGTAGAATGTTAGTACCTCTCTGATGTTTTACCCCAATCTTCAGTGAGAAAAAATATAGATTAAATTACTTTATTTTTCTTTGAAAATTTTTATTATAATTGCATGTCAAAGACAGTATCTGAGCTGAAAAAGGTGAAATTTAAAGAAAGGTATCACCCAATCATAACAGCACAGCAGTGTTCATTTCCTGGTTTGGACAATGTGTTGTTCTTATGTGAAATGGTGCCACTAGAGGAAGCGGCTGAGGCATATAGCATATAATATAGCAGCTTGCTGTTTTATTTTGTATTTTTCTGACATATAAAACGATTCCAAAACAAAAAGCCAAAAATATGCAGGGGGCATAAGGAGAAGTACCTAACAAATGATCTAGAAAAACTCCTGTACATATTCACAAGGAGACATTGGTCCATTTATCAGATTCGTCCATGATAGTAAAGGTGCTTCTGTGCTTTGGATATAAAATGGCCCCTCAAAGCACGTTTCTTAATGGCTTGGTCACCAGCATGTTATTAGGGGCTGGAATCTTTAAAGGATGGGTCGACAAGGATGTGCCCTCAAAGGGGACTGTGAGACCCCACCCCTTTCTCTTTCTCCTTCACAGCCCAATCCTGTTGCCAGGGCTTTCACCACAGCTCCTGCCATTATGCTCTTACTGTCCCACTCCAGGACCAAGGCAGTCAGCATAATGATTCATGGACCGAATTAAAATTGTGAGCCAAAATAAACTTTTCCTCTTTTTAAAGCTGATTTATCACAGGTTGGGTACTAGAACAAACAGCGCCAAGGTGAGCTATACAAATTGTAACTGTTTAATGATTGGTCAACAAAGGTCTTTTTAACATCTGTAAGAATGATCTCTGTAGCATTGTTTATAAGTGACTTAAAACAGAAATGATAATTACTGGCCAACTCGAATGGATAAATGTTTGAATATATTCATACATTGGTCTATTTTATAGAAATGACTTTGATAAAGCAAGTATATTAACTATGAAAACTTCACAATCATAATATTAAGGAAAAAGGATAAAAAAAATATGTATGATATTGCTCACTTATAAGAGTTTAAAAACAATATCAGGAATGGGTTAAGTATACTTTTTTACAAAAAGATATACTAAAATGTATGGAACCAAGAAAACTTACATTTAGGGCAGTTATGTCTGATAATAAAGGAAAGCAGGATTCCATCAGAGAGGCTCAAGTGTATTGAAAGTTTTAATTAACTTTAAAACCAGTGTTGGGAATCCAGATGAATTTATATTATTCTTTCATTTTGTACATCTATACCGACTTAACAACTTATCCAAGATTTCAGGAGCTCATTTTAGTAAAACTTGGTTTAAATATGACTTCAGCCAGTTTCCAAAAGCATTTGTCAAAATACCTAATCCACCGTCCTTATTTTGTGTGAGGGGCGTGTGTGGTGCACATGTGCATCAGCCATCATTCTGACATACCTATAATTATGTGGGTATAAATATATGCATATCCAGGTAGCTATCATGGCAGACTCGGCGTCAGCAGAGTAAGTACTTGCAATTACTTTCTAGAAAGCGAGGGAAAGAGCTGTGTGTATTTGATCCCACACTTACGCAACCACATTCTGTCCTGGCCTTGTGCTAATGTCTCCTATCCTCAGGGCAGCTTCCTGAGTTAAGGAAGCACCTTGGGAACCGAATATGACTGTCTGATTTATTTGGTGGTTGAATCTATCTTCATCAGTTTACAACATTTCAATATTTTCTAACATTGGGTGAATTGTACTGACAGAGGATATTGGTATCATCATCTTTAGTCGCCTCGTTTGATCAAAGAGAAACTGGGATCTCAGAATTAACTGACACCTCTGAATTGCCAACGGTGGCACAGCTAAGCAGCTCCCTGATTCTCTCCCTTTACACTTGTAGCCTTTTAAATTGACATTCAATTACAGATGCAGTAGATGACAGTTGCACATGCAGAGAAGGGTACACGCATGCTTCCTTACTGAACTGAAAACTCAAATCCTTTCACGAATGCATTTACAGCAATACAAACCCACAATGCAAACCACAATGTACTAATCAACTACTTTGCTCAAAGCTGAGAGGAAGAACAGTGAGAAGAAAGTCTTTATAATAAGATCTTTTCTTTATTGTAATTTATAGTTTGCAATGTGTAAAATTAAATAAACAAAGAAAGTTTAGCAGGGGTGGACAAAATCATTTTGGCACTTTAAGAATTTTCAATCTTTCTTCAAATCTATGTTATTATTTTAAAGAGTCATCACTATAAAATGTCAGGCTCCCTAGATTACTTTATGTAGCACTGGAGAGTGTCCATCTGACCAAAATAATCATATTTATCTATTCGAATCACAATTCCATTAGGCAGATATTTAATGAACATTTATTTTGTGTGCGACCCTAAGACTCCAGCAGTGACTATGAATTTTATAAAACAATATATCTTGAAAGATTTCAGGAGATATGAATTTACCCTGATGTATCTGTATATGATACGATTATGAAAAGATTAAAAGGTACATAAGCTATCATCCTTGTCTTCTGAAGCTTGTATTTGAAAGTTTTCTGAAATGCAAATATACTTTCATACCTGCATGATTGCGTTTAGTTACTAAACTTTTCAACTCAAAAAAAGTATTTCCAGGTATAGAATTATAGCATTATTAGCCTTTTAATACTTTTCATGTGTATTTCAAAATATACAATTATGTATCAGGTTTACTGAACTGAGTTATCTTGAGATATACAGATATAGATATAAATATACAATATAGATAGATATTATTATTATATGTATCTATATTTTAATTTTATCCTTGACCAAAATGAAGTAATATATACATATAAATCTTTTCTATGTTTACCAAAAAAGTAATTTTTGTCCGCCCACAAAGTGTTCTGAGGATTATAACTTATTCATCACTTGATTTCAAGATTTAATACTATTTTAAATACTAGCATAACGCTACAAAGTCTGAATTTTTCCTACATTGAGTTGCCACCTTGCGGAACAAAACTGCAATGGAACATACGCTCATCTATTGACCCTCTGGAACTTTTATGTCTTGAACCTTCCCATTTAGTATATAATCTCGCCCCTAGCCTATCTCCTGTGGGAAATCCACAGCAAAAGGATACAGGAAAAGACACTGGCTCACTGATAGTTGGAAGGTTCCGTTAGACAGCCCGGCTATGATTTAAGTATATGCTACCCTGGACCACACATTTGATTTCTAATAGGAATGCAAGAAGCTACTGTTCCTTACTGTAGTCACTGTTTTCGTCCTTGGTCCCATCAATGGTACCATCTGGGTGCATCTGCAGGAAATATCCCTGCTGGCTGAATAACCTTGTCACGATTCCTTTCAGCTGGGGTTCTGCAAAACAAAATGAAATCATTATTCACATTTTTAGTTTGTTTTTAAAGATGCACACTTGCAAATTTTTAAACATTTTCTGTAAGTAAATGCCAATGGCATAAATATTCACATTACTACTTGGAAGGGGGCATTTCAGGATTATAGCCAATATTTTTTTTTTCTCCTAGGGACACAATCACAGTACTTTACAGTAGTAAATCAAATGTGAATAAATAAAAGTTAACTATAATTTAGAAAATATACAGGCATGCTCCAAAGTGAATTATTTTCCCGCTTCTGGTGTCTGGATGCAAGACGTCACCGAGTTTATTGTCTGATCCCAACTGGTTTCTATTTAGTCCACAAATGCCGCTGTAATTCCTCCTCAGCTTCCACAGGCATACTTAGATGATAAAGATATTTTTTTTTCCTGCAAGTTATCAGTGATCAATCAGAAACTCTTGGATTTTGAAATTTCAGTCAACTTCAGCCAGAAAACATAACTTGGCACAAGTTGTCACCAGAAATTATATAGAAATCCAGATTTCCCCTTTACTAAATATTTTGTTAGGGAGAAACCCTGCTACTGTAAAACTCATTGCTCTAGTAACAAATAAAGTCAATTTCTTATGTACTTCAAACTGGAAATAATCTTTATTGTTAATACAGCTACAGATAGAAACTTTCAGACTGGTTTTTGTATATCACATTTGGAGTTTTGCATATCAGCTATTATACATGTTTAAAGCTTTCTCATTTTGATGCTGGCTACCAGTATCAATCTAATTTTCAAGATGGCACCATCCTTTTGTCTCTAGTGTTGGAAGAAAATTACTCTCATGTATTTACAGCTCTGTTTTATAAAGTAAGAAGAAGGAAAATGCTGCTTCTGGGGATGAAAAGATGGAAATCATGTGATTGCTGAAGTAGCAATATAGTGTGCTCAGTAGGACAATCACTGAATCTATTTATGAAGAAAATTCTCTCTCTCTCTCTCTCTCTCTCTCTCTCTTTCTCTCTCTCTCTCTCTCAAACAAAATGCAAAATGCTAGGCACTGTGCATTAAATTGCATGCATTCATTGATATTGAGACCTAAACGGAATTCTTGTTCAGGACTGAATGTATTAATTCTGTAAAAATATTCCCACCCATGGGGCTGGGGATTTGGCTCAGGCGGCATAAGCGCCTGCCTTGCAAGCAGGCAGTCGTGAGTTCGGTCCCTGGTACCGATAAAAACAAAAAAGACAAAAAAAAAAATATTCCCACCCCATGTAACATACGGGTTTTTACATGTAGGACTTCATGGCAAATATTTGGGAACATCAGAGCAGGAAATGCTTCACCATGGCTCCCTCAAAGCAGCCTTTTAAGCAAAAGATGCTAAGAAACTTGTGTATGAGGAGGGAGATAATATAAAAACAAAACAAAAAATGTGAGCTGGGAATTAAATATTTTGACTAATAACTGTTACCTTTTTCAGGTAAATAAATTCAACTTAATTTGTGGGTCTCAATTTCCTTTTAATGAAAACTGAAAGTTAAACCTAGTGACTTTAGTTCTCCTTTATGAGTCTCTATTCATGGTGAACCCATTAGAGTACTCTGTCCAGACTGCTGCAGGACATGACTAATGGATTTGCCTTCAGTGCTTCACCTCCAGGAACCCTGCCCATCCCATTAGCTCAGCTCATCACGAACAGTTCTGTGTGTAACTCTGCCATGACATTACCTGGCTAACGGTCAACTTCTCATGTGACACACTCACTTACAGATTTGCAGACAGAAGTCCCAGCATTGAACTCCAATTGCCTTTTGTTCCTGAGCATACCATTTCATATGGGAATCTCTATTTTTGCATCTGTATAATGAGAAAATACAATTCCAGCCCAAACTCTTGTTACCATGAACCTCAAGTAAATAATAAAATGATATGAACCAAAACAGTGATGGCGAACCTTTTAGAGTTTTCAGTGGCACAGAGCTTTCATGGGTTCACTATCACTGAATTAGGAGATTGCATAAAAAATAAATCCCAAGTAAGGTCTAAAATACGGACTGTAACACTCAAGGAAACAATGTAATTGAAAGAAAAGACACTGAGCATGGATTCTATGTCTCCTGATTTCGTTGTGCAATATTGGCTGAGCCGGTAAAGCCACTCAAGTAAACAGCAAACTGAGAAGAGGTTAGAAAATCACAGGAAACAAGGAAAGGGACAACTATTTCTTCACTCATGTTTTTATTCTAGGAGGTGTTGGGTCACTTTAAGAAGTCACGTTTTGTTGGTAGGGCAGCTTAGTCACTAAAGCCTGCAAATGAGTGTTTGTTTTCTTCATGTACTTTTTCTGTGCTGTAATTAAGCTTTTCTTTTTGCCATGGTGAAGCTATCCCCCAGCTGGGACTCTGGGAGTTCAGGTTGGTAACTCCTGCTCAGGATAATGAGTACCAGACTTTTATACCAACCCCCACCGCTGAGAGAAAGTGCTGAGCCTGACTCTTAATTATATGATCACCTATCAAAATGATCACCCTGCTACAGAAGTTTCGTAAGAGCTAGGAACCTAGCATGGCTCCCTGGAAAACTGTGCAGCTCACCTTAATGGTCAGTACTACATTCCCACTTCTATAGCCCTAGCTAGCTCAAGACAAAGGTCTTCATGAAGGCTGGCTAATGTAAGTGAGGCTGTCTTTTATAGTGGACAAAAATATGTTGTGCTCTATTTTAAAGAAAGATGCTAAGCGAGCATGATGGCACACGCCTGTAATCCCAGTTACAGAAAGATTGAGGTAGGAAGATCACAAGTTTGAGGCCAGTCAGGGCAACTGATTAAGAACCTATCTCAAAATAAAAAATGAAAAGAACTAGGGAAGTAGCTCAGTGGTAGAGTGTTTGTTAATCATGGATGAGACCCAAGGTTCAATCCCAGTACAGGAAAGAGAGAAAAGAGAGAAAAGAGAGGAGGGGGGGTGAAGGGAGAGGGGAGGGGAGGGGAGGGAGAGCATGGAGAGGGGACGGACCAAAGATTAGCAGAGACTAATTCTGTGTCGAGGTTAGGCAGACGGAATGGACTATGAAGCATTGTTAAACACTTCACTCATAATTTTAAAAATGAATACACTTTCCATAAGCAATAGAAACCAAAGGAGGCATTCCTGACAGAGACACAGTAGATTCCAGGAACGGTACAACCCGCTACCTTGACAATGTAGGGCCCGGGTTCTCAAAAGCTGACATGCAGGTACTTGTTCTCAGCACATGCTCACAGGTCAACAGTGAAATTAGTAAAATACAGTCAATGGAGCAACTTTTTACTCTACATCTTTTAAGTGTCTGCAACTCTCTTCAATTCTATGTTCTCCTATTTTTTTTTTCCTTTTAGTTTTCAATGAAACTGCAGCTATATTATGATAGTGGGGAAGAAGGACTTGGTTTGTTACCTTTTGTGCTCTAAAGAAAGGAAGCAAATACTGCCTGCATTTTTCTCAAATCCATTTCCTCTTTTCCTGGGCACCCAGCTCGACCATATGTCCTAGCCTCCCTTGCAATTAGGCTTGGCAGATGCAGGAGTGTCATATGGAACGTAAGTGGAAGTGATGCGTGCCACTTTCAGGCCAAGGCTTTTAAAAGCAAACATTCTCCTCCATGTTTTCTTTTCCTCAATGTTGAGTGGATAAAGATGGCAAAGCCCTAGGGGACGTCAGAGCAGCAGCACTGAGGAATGCAGGATCTTCCCCTGAATAACGGGTACGGAGAAGACAGCCATTATCAGAAATACCCAGAATAAGACTTTAACTTCCGTTGCCTGTGCAGAATGGCTTCTGCCAAAAAACATATGGTATGGGGGTGGGGGGGAGAGAGAGAGAGTGAGAGAGAGAGAGAGAGAGAGAGAGAGAGAGAGAGAGAGAGAGAGAGAGAGAACCGCTGGGAAATCTGAGGAACAAAGCACTCCCTCAGCCAGGTGATGAGGTAATAGGGACAGCAACCCGTCCTGCTGATAGTATGTGCCTTTGTGCCTTTGATGGGACAGAATGGGAATGGCACTTTACCTGTGTGATCTTCTCAAAAAGCCACAATCTCTATCCAATCTGGAGAAAAACATCACACAAACCTTGACTGAATAATATACAAAGCCCTGGACTAGTCCTCCTCAATCTGTCAAATTCATCAAAGAAGAGGCAAGTGACAAGATGTCACAGGTAAGAGGAATCTAAAGAGACATCATAGATAAATGTAATGTGGTATCCTGGATAGAATCTCAGGACTGAAAAAGAGCATTTAGGGACAAACTAAGAAAATCTGGATGAAACATCAACTTCAGCTAACCGAGACGTATCAATATTGCTCTTAACTGTGACAAAAGTGTCACACTAAATGTAAGACACTAATATGAGAAGCTGAGTGTAAGATTTATGAAAGCTCTGTGAATTAAAGACTGTCATTAAACAAAACATTGTTAGAAGTAGCATGCGATTTTAGTCTCAAAAATGTGGAGTGAGAAAGAAGGTAAAGGATAGCAGTAGGACCACATGTTCACTGTTGCTTCCCTTCGGAATGACACGGTAATTTCAAAGCTAAGTTTGAATTCAAAGCCAAAAGGAAAGTGAACATCTTGGAGAGCAAACTAGACCGTTTTGTAGGGTACAAGCAAGACCCAGAAAAGAGACAGAGCCACGGGGCCCTACCTGCACATCGCATAATAAATGCCACATTGGTGAAAGTAAGATGAATTTAGAAATCGAAAACTCTCACCATTCACAGTTCCCTTCATCAGCTTCAAAGATAAAATTCCACCAATCAACAAACAATTGGGACTCAGAGCAAAAGTATCTTGTCCAAGATTACCCTGCTGACACGTAAGTCAGGACATGAATAGACTCCTAGTACAGTGAAGAGACCACATCTTTTACCTTCCAAAGAATGGGCAAGACATAATCTTCATGCTATGTCAGCTGAGGAGACTGAAACCAAAAATGAAGAAAAAAGAGAAAAAAAAAAAAAAAGGAGCATCTGACTGTAC